GTCTGTCTCTACATGTAGTATTATAGTACATGTATGTATAATAACCGTGATATATCTGCCACCCCTCGCAGCAGCAGCGGCAGCAGAAGGCCCACCCCGCCGCAGGCCGCCAGTATAGGCTGCATAGTATGTTATAGTATATGTCTGTATGTAGTCTGTAGTAGTAGTAGTAGTAGTAGTAGTAGTAGTATGCTGTATGTATGTAGTACTAGTCTGTCTCTACATGTGTGTATATGTGATGTATCTGTCACCCCTCACAGCAGCAGCAGAAGACCTGCCTCGCCGCAGGCCGCCAGTATAGGCTGCATAGTATGCTATAGTATATGTCTGTATGTAGTAGTAGTAGTAGTATGCTGTATGTATATAGTCTGTCTCTACATGTGTGTATATGTGATGTATCTGTCACCCCTCACAGCAGCAGCAGAAGATCCACCCCGCCGCAGGCCTACAGTATAGGCTGCATAGTATGTTATAGTATATGTCTGTATGTAGTCTGTAGTAGTAGTAGTAGTAGTAGTAGTAGTAGTAGTAGTAGTAGTAGTAGTAGTAGTAGTAGTATGCTGTATGTATGTAGTACACTAGTCTGTCTCTACATGTGTGTACATGTGATGCAGCAGCAGCAGCAGAAGGCCAGCCCGCCTCAGTCGGCTGTCATGGTGGAGAACGCTGAGGCAGACGCCACCGCCGCCGCGCTACACGTCATCGAGGTCGACCCCGCGACCTCCGACCCCGCCGCGACCTCTGACGTCGCCTCGCCGGGAGAGGGCGTCGGTGGCGCCTGCATCTCTCGCGTCCTTGTCGACGCGGCGTGCGGTTCCCACGACGACGACGACGGGCACGACGACGGCGATGCGTCGGTGCAGCGCCCCCTGGCGTGTGAGGCGGTCGACATGAGCGTCAACACGCAGCTGCTGGCGGAGGATGGAGACGAGGAGCACGTTGCCGCGGTTACGGACGACGACGTCGTCGAGGAGATGGGCGTCGCCGCGGTTACGGACGACGACGTCGTCGAGGAGATGGGCGTCGCCGCGGTTACGGACGACGACGTCGTCGAGGAGATGGGCGTTGCCGCGGTGACAGCCGACGACGGCGTTGAGATGGGCGTTGCCGCGGTAACAGATGATGGCATTGTGGTGCAGAATGGCGTTTCCATAGTAACATACACACTCTCGCCCAGCATCGTGATGGGCATTGAAGAAAACAGCTAGCGAACGGTGGTGCCATCTATCTGCTCATCGAAGAAATATTCTGCGATGGATAACGTGTATATATATATATATATCGTTGTTATTGTTATTATTATTATTATTGTTGTTATCCAGCAGTCTACTGCCTTGCTGTTTCACTGTGGACCGATTGTTACCCAGTAGAGAAATCAATTGGGTGTTTATATCGGCACTAACTCGGTGTTTAGTAATTCCAGTACATCGCGAATAAATGAACTGCGCTTTAAGTTTAATGACAATGCGCAGATTTGTTTCAACACTGGAAAAGATCGGGTGCATTATTTTTCGAAGTGCAACGCAATATGGTGTATGCTCCCATTGTGTGCGTGTTGTGGTTCCATTTTATATCAGTCACATCTCGTTTCCGCAGTTCAACTTGTTTGTATTGAAGCGCGCCTAATTGATCTCTATCGGAAAGAGTAGGTTGCCAATGTTGTTAATTGGTAACAACTGGCAGTTGGTTATCCAGCTTTGTAATTACTTATCTGCGAAAAATCATGAAACCTGTTTACTCATACGATCGTCGTGTTGTAAAATAAAACGCTTCGTTACCGTGCAATATATAATTCGTTCGTTCCTTTGTTCGTACGTGATGTGTAAAACTACGCATGCTACCGCTACTGTAGTTACAAACTACTGAAGTTACAAACACGAGGAACCAGCAATGTCTTTGAAGCCCCTTGTGTTGGGCGCTCGACTTTTTATTAAAAACATTTTTAAATATGTGTACAGTACAATGATACGGCAACGAGCTTTAAAATACAAAACATCGATCACACTATATCACACTACTATCTCAGTAAATACCAATCCGTGACAAGAGTAGAGTCACAGGCACTCGGAGCGTTTCAATAAAATCAAATCTATTTACTACCAAAGTCTTAATGTTTCTCTACTTCCTTTCGCCTATTGTTGCCGACAATTTTCTGTAAATGTCGTGCAAATGCTCCTCTGCAACACACATGTACACCACGCACGCTGCCGCACACTGACACATATATATATATATAGACTATATATATATGTGTGTCAGTCAGTCCGACTATATATATATATATATATATATATAATATGTGTCGGTGTGCGGCAGCGTGCGTGCGGTGTACATGTGTGTCGCGGAGGAGCATTTGCATGACATTTACAGAAAATTGTCGGCAACAATAGGCGAAAGAGAGTAGAGAAACATTAAGACTTTGGTAGTAAATACATTTCGTATTTATTTAGCATTATATTTGATCAGAAGTAGATAATAGGGATTAATATTCCCTATTATCTAATTCTGATTTTATTGAAATGCTCCAAGTGCCTGTGAGTGGAGTGGCGCACAGTCCGGCGACTCAATCGTTAACGTCGGAAAAACAGGCTTTACACCTAATTGACGCTTAATTCTATGTTAATTCAGATGCGTTGCCGCCGCCGCCGCTGCTCCCAGTATTAAGCGCGGGGACTAAGTCGTGCAGTGTGGCAAACAACATGTTAACCAACAAGCGTTCAAGAGATAAAAGCCACCAATTTTTTTTATGAACTAAAAATGTATATTAACACCACCCAGTCTAACCAATTTTATTTCATCAACCTAAGGAAGCAAGCATTTAATGTACATGTATGTATTTATGTATATATATAAAGGGGCAAGTTTGCCGCACGCCACACAAACTGGTTCTGTGGTTGTAAAATGTCGGTATTTTACCCAAAATACTCGACAAAAATCCTCACAAAAAGGCCACAATCAAAATACCTCTAGTATATTTACAGATGAGCAAGGCATTTAATTACCTACACAAATGTCCACCTCTGATCAAGGTGGCCACGGGATTTGATCATTGTCACGCGCACGCACGCACGCACACATTCAGACGAACACGGATTACAGCACATTCCAATTCATCTCTCATCGCACCAGACAAAAAATAAAATACAGCACTACATCTAAGACACTTGACTAATACAAAGATCAGAGAGACTGCCCATAAATACGCAACGATAAAACAGTGCCGTAGGATATGAACAACGTATTCCGCATCGTGGTTTTACTGCACTGCGATCCGCGATCTTCATTTCATTTACAAATTAACGAGAAAAGTTCCCAACACTCTCCCAGCCGGTGTGTGTGTGAAGACTCACGCTAACATAATATACAAATGATAAACTTCTTTTACCCTGATTTATACACATACACATTTGTCTAGTCTGTCAACACACGGATCGGTGGCGACATCACACGTATCAAGCAACCATTTCAAACGTTTAGAAAAAAAAGGAGAATTCGAAAACTAGTAACTAGTAAGTAGTTGAGAGTTTCTGATGTAATGACAACACGTATAGATAGTTCCATCTGAATAGTAAGTAGACTTTACACGACAGTTAAACAAACGCACTCGCAAACCCCGGCGTACAATGTACTAGCACTGCCCCACCAGCCAGACGCCCATGCATGCATGCACGCACGCACGCACGCACACACGCACGCACGCACGCACACACACCCGTGCATGCAACCAGCTTCCCCTAACACATACACACAAGCAGGTAGGTCCCTCTCCAGACGCACGCACGCACGCACGCACGCACGCACGCACGCACGCACACCCACACGTCTGCATCTTCCCACCTCTCTCTCTCTTCCCAATTCTCTCTCTCTCTGCATCCCCACGCACATTCACACACATCATTCACATTCACATATACTTCTTCACTGGCAAACTGCTTTGCTGCAACAACTCGCACCGCACCTACGACGGTGGCGCGCTCTGGCGCCGCTGCGAGGCGACAACCTCCCACCGCAACCTCCTCTCTCCTGGGGGGAGGGGGTCGATTTCCAAATACGTCCACACGGCGGGAGGGGAACCTCGAGGAAGCGCGTGGCACAACCCACAGCACTCTGCATCGTTACCGCCGATCTCTCGTACGTATCATACGTTCCGGCTTGTACATGCAATGTTGTATTGTGCATTTTGTTGATCGACGGATTGCAGAGTCGAAGCCGCGTCCGCAGAAACTGGTCCGTCGGTCTAGACCGGTCTCTCCGTGCGTCTCTCTGTCTGCAGCGCACAGGCGCGGCCGGACGATCAAAACAATCGCGGGACCGAGTTCCGGAAACCTACTCCGGCACGCACTCCGCTGGGCGGTCGTCACGGCGACGACGGCATTCAAAGATGGCGTCGACGATCCGGGGAGATCGCGAGCGTGCGCGCGTCCCTACCTCTGCGGCACGTACGTCCGATACGGGCCCTTGTGCAGCCCCGCGTCGCGGTCCGGGGCCCGCGCGCCACGCCGCAGGCTGCTCATCCCGGCCATGGCGTGCGCGGCGGGCGCGCGCGGCGGACTAGAGGGCGCCGCCGTGTCGTTGGGCGGCAGCGGGCGGCTGTGGTGCGCGCCGCGGGCGATCGGCCGGCGGGCGTCGAGCGGCTCCTGGATCGCGTGCGGCGACGGCGGCACTGCAACTACACAGACGGTGGGGCGGTCATAGCGAGAACAAACATGGCGGCAGCGGTGACGTCGCACGAGAACAAAACATGGCCACCACGCTGACATCACGCGAGAACAAACATGGCTGCAGTGCTGGCGTCGTGAGAGAACAAAAATGGCTGCTGTGAATCGCGGAACGACGACAGCGGCGCGAGAAAGAAACGGTGTTAAAAAGAGTGTTTTTTTAATCAAAAATTTGATCACGACGACGCAGATGTGTGCGCAGCAAATTTTACGCGTACATTTTCCCCCCATTTTCCCCTCAATTTGAACAACTATCAAGTTATTAGAGTAAAAAGTGGTTTT